TGTTAATAAAGTAACAACTGGTAAAGTTGCCTCTATAATATTGTTAGCAATGAATATTAGATGATACAAGTCAGGATCCCACAAATGTGAAGGTGCAACTTGTCTATCTAGTGTGGACCTTTTCGGACTTTATGGTATGTTACTTACAAGTGGCAAAGGTAACAACTTCTAGTAGCAGTTTTTCAGGATCTGTGAGGAGATTATCAAGAAGGTGCATCTGGGCTCCTCACAGTGGTGCCTTGCATGAGACAAAAGACAATGAGCATAAACTGAAAACCTCCAAGGATGGAAATTGCATAACCTCTCTAAGCAACCTTCTCCACTGCTTGTCTGTAGAAACTTCTTCACTATATGGACAGACAAGCAGTGGAGCAGGTTATCCAGAGAGGTTGTGTAGTGTCCATCCTTGCAGGTTTTCAAAACTGGGTAAAGCTCAGAGCAGCCTGGTCTGATCATGTAGATGACCCTGCTTTGAACAGGAGATTGGACTAGAGACTTCCCAATGACTTTTCCCACCTGAATTGTCCCATGATCCTGTGAAAGCTAGTAGAAAAGCATGAAAAACAATTTACATCAAAATAATGTAAGTGGCTAGTCAAAATAAAAATAGCAATAAAACCCTAATAAAATCCTAGTTGTTTCAAAAGAAAATGAGGATCTTCTCTCAAGACCAAAAGATTTTCACAGGATGTAAAGTTTTCTATAATGTAGCAGCATGAACAAGCCAGTTTAGGATAGATCACAAACCTAAAGGCAAACTACAGACCTTAGTTATTCACATCAGGGACAGGGAAATGCACTTCTGTGAACAGGAATCATGTGTAGGCTCTCTGTGCAGTTGGACCCCATTAGATGGGTTTAAAGATGGACATTAGCCATCCTCTGTTTAGCTTAGTGATGCTTTTTCTCCAATGGGAATGTACCTGAAATTCGGCTCTCAGGTTAACAATCCCCAAAATTTGAGGTGGCTGAAGGAGTTTCTTTATTGACTTCGGGTCTTAGACTGAAGAGCAGACTCCACCTACACAGGGTAAATAACTCCATTATTATGGTGGAGTATTCTGTAGCTGTAGAGTCTAATTAAAAATAGCTATTAGCCATTTTATGGTTGCTATGTCTAGATTGTGTTTAAACTTTTCATTCCTTTGAACAACATAGGTGAGATAAAAGTTTTTCAGAAAATAATAATCAAAAGAAAATTCAATTGGTGTTTATTTTTCCTTTCCCAAATGTTATTAGTAGGAGCTATTAAATGCTTTCAAAGTTTAATTTCCCCCAAAATTAATGTGGCAGTTTGTCTGGGTTATATTTTATAGAGTTATTTTTCACATGCAAGATATCAATATCTGCAAATGCTAACTTACTATACTTGCTATGGCTCTTGCACTACTTAACATTTATGTGCAGATTTATTACTGAAGTTATTTGTAGCTGCATGCATAGATTGAACTCAGTATAATTTTAAAACTTGTCGTCTTAGAGGTTGTGTACCAAATATCAGCCTTCTGCAAGTGAAAAAGATGTCCTCTCTTTTTTGTTTATATTTTACTTTATGTGAAATAGTCCATCAACAAGCTGCTTGGAAGTGAAATGTGAATAAGGAAGCAAAGGAGGAGTATTTCGGCATGCCTTAGGGGCTTCTGTAGCAGAAATAAATCATGTATATCTTGAGTTGTTTGTTGGTGAGTGAACATCCTACAGCTGCACATGGCAGCAAGGCAGGGAAAACTTTACCCGGCTCTGAAGAGAGTACTTGCAGTTCTCATATGGCACAAAAAAAAGGGAAGGCCTAGCAGTCTCTGCTCACAGAGTTCTGCAATAATGTAGAAAATAGACGATACTGACAGTGTATGTGCTAGTATGAAAAGAGAAAATATTACTCTTTAAGGTGCAGGGTGAAGAGGGAAGATCAGGTACTACTGAGAATACATGGTTAAAAGTAATGTTCGAAATATTTGTTGCACTTCGAAAAAGTAGAGAAGGAATAACTGTCAGTGGTTCAGCTGACTTTGAATAATGTCCTATAGAGTGTGATAAATTCTGTTTCTTACTTCCTCTTGTCCTTGACTTTCTCTTTCTTGCTAGAGAATCTCTCTTTGAAACATTGCCAAGATGAGTGCAGAATGTGAGTGCCGTTCTCCAGTTTATCATGCCATATCTTTGAATGGTGGAGTGAATGCAGGATTGTGGTTTCCTCACACTTGACATGATTAAAATAGGAAATTATTGTGAAGAATATTTTTCTCCACTTTCTGCCATCTGTCATTGACATGATCATCTGTAGTGCACTCCTTCATCGTGTGGTGTGGATACTCTTTGTGCTGCTGTACAACTCTTCCATTTTGCTCAGGACTGTGCATTGTGGTGGAATGTCCTTGTCAGACTTACTTGTTTCTAATTGCTATTGTAACCTTTAGTTAGTGCAGAATTTTTCTCAGTAGCAAGTAGCTTATCCTCACCAGTCCTTGGATACTATCATAAAAAGGCCTTCATCTCAAGTACTCTAAGGTCAAGAATAAGTGCTATTTAGGATTGTGCTTTCAGACAGAAATTTTTTTTTTCCTTTAAAAAATAGAATCATGCATACATTCATTCTAAAAAATTGAATCATACATCATTGCCAAATGAGACAAATATTCTTTGTTACAGAACCTACCAGAAATCCATTTTAGATGTACTCATTTGTAAATGTTGATAAATGTGGATTGATAAAATCCTAATTTTACACCATTCGTCTCCAATTCGTCCTGAGAAATTAACCAAAGGGAATTCTCTTACTTGTATTTCTTCATTGTAGAAGAGTGTAGGAGACCCTGGTACTGCACTTCTGGAAACTTGGCCCCTGTTTCTTTTACTTTCAAGTAGTGCCATTTCAGAATGAAACAATTGCCAAGAGAATTAAATAGTTTGGAGATTAAATATATCTAATTAGCCGAAGTGATTACATGTGGAGGTATTACATTTTTGTGTCAGTCATTCTAACAGCTTTTTGCTTCCTCAGTCAGTAAAAGCTCTGGATATTATTTTTGTTGAGATGTTTAGTTTTTATTCTTGTGGTGATGTACTAGTTCAAGAGTATGGAAACAGGGTTACTAGAGTTCTGAAGAAAATCATGAGATATCAAGATGTGGACCCGTATTTTGGATCTGTGCCTCCCAGATTGGGGTATCTGATTGTCCTGTTCCGTCATATGAGACATGCATTATTTCTCATTTGCTTATTTTTCTAATTTCATCTGCAGCTTCCCTAAAACTTTGCTCCACTGTAGACAGTTACAACCTGTATTCACTTGTATACTGTTTTCTTTTCATCTGATGACCAAGGGTTGGATTTCCTATAATATTTGTTAAAAGAAATGATCTGTTATTCATAAAGGCTCTGTTAATGTTTTAAGACTAAAATTCACAACTGCATTCCAAATGATCATTTTCTCTGGCTTTGGGCAGCTGCATCTTCTGACAGTCTCTAATGAGTTGGCGTCAGACTCTTCGTGTAAGGACTGATAGTTGCCTCTCAGTCTAACAACTTGAGTGATGTTTCTCAAACTTCTACATGTTGACCTATAACCTTTGATTGAAACTAGTTTCAGTTTCTTGCTTTACTATTTTCTTTCTGCGTGAGCTGGAATATCATCAATTATACGGAATCCATAAAAACTCAACTGCTGTAGAATAAAGATTTGCTGGTCTGATTAATACCTATAAATTCTGAATACCAATGGAAATGAAGCTTATGTTGTGTTTTTGACTAGTAAACCCTTACCAAATTAAATGAACAGTGGCAACAGATTTTCCATGTTGTAACATAGAAGTACTTTACTACAGTAGATCTAATGATGTGATAAATGCTCATAACAACAATAGACTACAGTAGAACTTTGTGGAAGGTGAGATAAAAAAAGGGAACAATGAAATGCTGTAACATTGTGTGGATTTTGAGTGTTACGCAGTGCATACAGTACCATGTGAACAAAATAAAATAGATAATTGTATGAATTTATACAGTTTTACTGGATCTTGGTTTAGAACAGGCATTCTGAAAATGATTTGCAGCTATTTTACTTGGATAACAGTATTTCACTGTAGCTATACCATTTCTATATTTATGTGTAGTTTACAAGGAATTCTTAGTTTACAGTTTGCCAAGTCTTGTACTGTACAACATCTCGCTCTGAACTTCCTTCTTGCATACGAGCACATGTAGATGTACACTCACATATACACATGCACATAATACACAGAGATTAAAAAGTAAATGCTGTAGATTTCTTGTTACTATGATTTCCATTAAATTTTGGGTAAGAATTAGTATAGACTGTTTACTAATATCCTATGAATCATTGCCATAATAACTAAAACTGAATATAAATTCACAAAATACATTCTATTGTATGTTTTAATTTTGAATGCTGAAATTAGTGGTCAATTATCTACAAGTTTCATCGTGATTTCTGCAAACTAGTAAGGGCAGCTGTAATTTGTTTGAACTTACTCCCTGTAGCAACCTTCCAGGTATAACACTTCTAATTTTAAAATGTTCTTCATTTTGTACCAACACTTTTATGCTAAAATAGGAAAATCTGCGTCCTGGCCCTTTTCCTACACTTGTACAAACATATTCATATCTGTGTCACAAAGTTGTTAACTTCTAAAGAGCACAGTCAAACAGTGACAAAGAGAAGGTGAGCACTAATCGTACCTTATAAAAAAGTTTTAAAAGAAGTGATAATGGATGTTCATGTTTTCTGCAAGATGCAATTTTTTCTTTGCTTCTATCTGTGTAATAATGCTTTTAACTTTCTGTAAATATTGCTATGTGAACTTACGAAATAGGAAGTAGCATAAACCTGTTTCCTTCCTTATAGGGAGAACAAGTTTTAAGTTTCAGCCTACCTAGTACAAGAACAAATCTCATTTATGTAAAGTATGTGTTTGATTGTCTGCTACAACTTGTTTCTTCTGACTTACAGCCTGTTTCTCTTTTTGTATTTCTGTTAACAGAAAGCTGACCTTGCAGTTGCCCCATTGGCAATTACCTATGTTCGAGAGAAGGTCATCGACTTTTCCAAGCCCTTTATGACTCTTGGAATAAGTATTTTGTACCGCAAGCCCAATGGTACAAACCCGGGCGTCTTCTCCTTCCTGAATCCTCTCTCCCCTGATATCTGGATGTATATTCTGCTGGCTTACTTGGGTGTCAGTTGTGTGCTCTTTGTCATAGCCAGGTAACATGTCAACTTTTGTGATTTTTTTGGCAATTGTTATCATCTTTTTCTTACTAATAATTGTCAAAAGTCACAAAAATTTTGTTACTTTCATACTCTTATATTTTATGATGTACAGAAGAATAATTAATAAGGGTTCTCACTATTAATTTTCTCCACTGCGTACTAAGTGTCCAGTTTGTTACATCACTAAGTCTTGAGTATGCTAGCTAGCTTTCTCCTTTTCTTTATAAATTTAGACACAATAAAGTTTACGGAATGTCTTTTCCCAGCTGTGCTCTGCTTAGAAAGATGAGTTGACATATTTTATTTTGTTAGCTTGATTTCATTTGATGCTATGGTGCTTAATCTCAAATGGAGTACTTAGCTGCCCATGTTAATCCTAGATGTTCAAATTGGGCCTCTACCTGTAGCAGAACATATTACTTGATATAGATTAGTAGCTTAGAAGTAGGGTAAAAATATTTAGTTTTTAACTGTGTGATAGGTAAAATCCCCAAGATACCTCATGTAATTTAAAGTTCCAGATTGGAATGTATTTGAAAGTATGTTTAGTTGAGCTTTTAGAGTTAAGGAATTCAATGCAACTGTTAAATTATAAATTGATTTGATATATAAGGCTCACGTTTTTATCTGTTTTCTTTGACGTAGACAAGCAGGCAAACATCTTTTGTCAAAAATTCCCATTATATTTACCTTTTCTTTGTAATTAGATCTGACTCCAGATATTCACAGATATATAGTATTAAATGCTTTGACTTCTGCTGTGACCGAAAAAAAAAAAAAATCAGAACAGTAAATCAGCAATTCCCAGGGGTGTAAATGTAATCTCTTTTGCAGATTCCTCCTAGTAGTCACTTTCAAATATTTTTTTTAATCAAATACATATGAACCATTTTGGCTTTTATCCCTTTAATAAGATTGTTTTTTTTGTCTATAGCAATGGTTTTTAGAAGTATATGTTGTTTTTTTTGTCTATAGCAATGGTTTTTAGAAGTATATGTTGTTTTTTTTGTCTATAGCAATGGTTTTTAGAAGTATATGTTTGACATGATAATGCAATCTCACTTCAGCCCCAAAATTTTTATGATTTCATTCTGTGGTACACAGTAGAATCTTCATATTTTTCTTTTCCTGTTGTACTGCAGTTGATATCAGGGTTCTCCATCTTTCTTTGATACTATCTGCTTCATTTTGGAGAAGTTGTATCATTCCTCTACTAAGGGGAGAAGTAATATTTTTAGAAACCATTTTAAAAGTAATATAGCAAGATCACCTATACATAAAGTACATGCGGTGCTGAAGTAATATGGAAATATAGATAACACTGAAACATATTCTGTAATGAATAACTTCACTTGCGTGCCTTCTTCAAAAGTCTGCTTTAAAGAGCCAGACTTATGTTGAAAGCTTCTTGAAAGAATAGTAGATTTTAGTGCACTATATAACTACAGAGTAAACTAATTTCTGAGGCGTTCCTGTGATACAGGTGCTTCTGAAAGCACAGTTAATCATAAATCACAAATGTTACCTTACAAAACACCTCATCTAAAGTATTTATGCGTACGTTCAAAAGTTTTAACCCTATTGTTATCACTGAAGGGCATTTCCAGCATGATGCACACTGCTTTTGACAAGCAACTCCCAACAATGTTATTAGGAGTTGTATGGCTGAGTTCTTTTTTATGGTTTGAAAATGTGTCTTGTCATATTTTGTAGGAAAAATACCTTTTCTTGAAGGTGTTTTTTTATTAAGCAATTCAGTCACTTGATGTCACTAGCAGAACTGGAAAGAAAGTTTATTTTTAAACAGAAGTGCTACATAGTAGACTAGTATTGCTGAACTTTTTTTTGCTTGTCTGTTTTTGTGACCAGAACCATAAATTCCTTATTAACTTCATTGTAAAACTATATGAAATACGTTTTATACTGAGCACAGGAGTCTGTTTTTTTGTAGAATTGTATAAAATACTTTTTTCATGCCTAAGATTTTATCAGCCTTCAGATCTAGAGATTTTCAATACCTCTTAACTTGTACAATCAAATGTTTAGAAATAAAAGATCTGGGATTACGTAAGAAAATATTTTATCCATAATGCAGAATGACTTAATAGTATGCAATAGCATTTTCTAACACTATAGTTAGAAAATAACATTCTTTTAAAGTAAAAGTATCTTTTGCGAATATAATTCACAAAATCTGTCATGTAAAGGGAAATACTGCTAACTGAAGTGTGGTAGTGAAGAGGACTTTGCAGCATGCTGCTGACTATGTATTTTCAGTACAGATTATAAATTAGGTATTGCACAGCTGATGATGTGTTTTTCAGTCCTGGTGTCCTGAAACTGTTGGACTGTATGCCACTAAATTAATAGGTACCACCTAGAGTGTCTGATTAAGAAGATTTCTATTTCATAACAATCCTTCCATAATGAATGTTGAAATACTAGTGTTTCATAATAATTACTACGTGTTTCATAAGAAGATGTACCTATGTTTGGAGCAGTACTTAGTATGTCTTTTATGATATGGTGTTTTGTAATTAGAGCTCATTAGAGTATTCAGTGTAGAATATTTATTTTTAGATTTAAACTTCCCATTTTTGTGTCAAATGTTTTGTGATTTTATTGTTTCACCATGTCTTCCAAACAATGTCAGAATGTAAGAGCTTGGTACATTGAAAATGGAAAGTACAGTTCTGTTGTGGTACTTGGATTTCACCCATTAATTAGTGATATGGTCCTGTTTAGGAAAGATAGAGAAATTAGTAAAAGGTTCAAGGGCCTTTGAGAGACTATTGTTGAAAGGATTTCATAGAGTAACATATTAGGCATAAATGGGGAAAAAATGTAATATAAATATTTATTAGTGTTTTCCTTTACTTGAAAGAACGTTGCACTTTTCTTCCAATTTGAGAACCAGATATAAGGAGCTGGAATCTTTGCATACTCAACAAGGCAAAAAGCTAGGAGAGAGGTTTATTTGTTAGCTGGAGGGCTTTTCTATGTCATTTTCCTCTAGCAGTTCTCAAAAAAATAATGAGTCATCTATTTATGTGGGTGTTACAGATTTTACACTGTGGATAGGATGAACATAGAAGCGTTGTACACAGTGTTTTCTTTAATTGTCATTCTTTGTGGGGAATTACAGTAGGCTGTGATTTCTCCATATATATGAAAACCTCTTAACCTTGTTTCTTGTGATTTTTGAATTTAAGTAGTTGTTAGTTTCTGAAAGTTCCTTCCTTGATCATACAAGCTGATGACTGACAGATAAACCCAGTCTGCTTGTCATTAAGCCTATTGCATTTCTGTCAACTGAGAAAGTCATACAGCATTTTTTCCTCTTGTGGCAACAGTAATAGATCTGTTTCTGATGCTAGCAAGCAGTGTCTTTGTGTCACTGTTAGCAGTGTCTTGTGTCATCTGACACCTTGTTACATTCCAGTATCTTCCCTTTTTGCATCTGCCTTTGCTGATTTCTTTAATTTAGAATCCCAGTTAAATTCACAGTTTACATGTAATTAGAATGAAGACTAAAAATGGAGTAAAGTGCACCAACTCCTTTTTGGAGTTCTGTAAAGTACACAACATTTTCTGATCTGTAAAATGAAAAATCTTGATTAGTGGAATTTCATTTGTTGGTGCAAACTGTTGTTTCATTTCCAGGAAACATGCTGATTTCTTACAGTGTTGTATACCAACTTCATAGACACATTGTCCCTTCTTTTCCATTAGTCTGTGTATATGAAACAGCTGTTTCCTATTATGGTCTCTGCAAAATCTAGTTTGTTGGTAACTGGAGGATACTTCCCATTTGACATAGACAATATGAAGAAAATCAGTTCCATACTTATAAAAATGCTGTATATGTTTGATTTACGTAGGTCTTCCAATTAATGTCTTTCAAAATTAATCTTCATCTGACTTTCCTCATGATTGTATTATACTTTTTGGAGTCTCTTATGCATGATTTTAACCATCCATGTCTTCAGGAATCTTTTCTGAAAGCACAGATTAGAAGCTAAACTCGTTAAATATTTTAATCTAGTCATTTTCCACCCAGTTTACTGGATTTCAAGTTATTCCCTGCACATTGAAGTCTTTGTGTAGTAAGGTCTGTTTGCTGTGAACTTTTCTGTCTGTCATAAAGCAGTTTACTCTTAAGTGACCTATCTTAATAACTGGAAGAGATACACCTGCCTTAGCATGATGCTTCACCTTTAAGGATCAGTTGTGGAGCAGATAAGCTACCCTGGATAAAATGATCCACTAACGAGCTTTTATGCTTTTTATACTGAGCTGTCTGAACTATCAGTGAATATTATGTAAATATACATTAAACTGTTCTCACTGCCTTAATTGCTAGTATTGAATCATGGGCTATCATATTAAAGGGCTTGGTCCACCTTTACTTGTTCTACGTTCTGTATGTTGGGACTTCCTGCTTTTTCCTCCCTTCAGAAGAATTATGCTATCCTACTTCTCATAAGTCAAGCCTTCGTGCTGTTTTCAGCTGTCAAAGTGGTTAGTATCAACTGCTTTTCCATTTCCTTGTAAGCAGTGATAACACACAATGAACATTGCCTCATCACCAAATTATATTTTTCCCTTAGCAACTGGAATAAAACATAATAAAAGAAGACTAGAGTTTTAAGAATGTCTCCACACATTTATCTTAATCTTTTCTCTGTGAAGAAGCTTAGAAACAGCCTGCTGCTTCAGACTTGAACAGACGCCTGAGCATTATCTCTCTCTGGAGTGCATGCATATTCTTTTACATCTCATCAGTCTTCATTTTTATTTCACGTTTTTTGATCAGCTGATTTCTGTCCTTGAGCCTGTCTGACTGATTTTCAAACTACTCCTTGAAAACTATCTTGCTGGAAAGCAATTTATGTCAGAATGAGAGCGGACTACTTTTCCAGTTACTATGGAACTCTGGTTACGAAATTACTATGTTGATATTTATTCAAGATGTAAGTTAGCATATTTGCCTT